TCACCCAGGTGACTGCCTGGGGTGCTGTTTTTGTTGTTAGCAACAAAAGGGAAAATAGAATATTTGAAGTAACATTTCAAGTAGGGCTGTCAGCAATTAAAAAAATTAATCGCGATTAATCACACAATTTAAAAAATTGTGATTAAATAAATGGTATTTTATTAGTGTTTAACAGTGTGATTAAATATTTTGGATGTTTTCTGCAATTTCAAATATATTAATTTCAATTACAACACAGAATACAAAGTGTACAGTGCTCACTTTATATTTATTTGCACTGTAAAAAACAAAATAGTATTTTTCAATTCACCTAATACAAGTACTGTAGTGCAATCTCTTTCTCGTCAAAGTTGAACTTACAGATGTAGAATTATGTACAAAAATAACAGCATTCAAAAATAAAACAACGTAAAGAACTCTAGAGCCTACAAGTCCACTCAGTCCTATTTCTTGTTCAGCAAATCACTCAGACAAACAAGTTTGTTTACATTGCAGGAGATAATGCTGCCTGCTTCTTACTCACAATGTCACCTGAAAGACATTGTGAGAACAGGCATTTGCATGGCACTGTTGTAGCCAGCATCACAAGATATTTACATGCCAGAAGCACTAAAGATTCATATGTACCCTTCATGCTTCAACCATCATTCCAGAGGACATGCATCCATGCTGATGATGGGTTCTGCTCGATAACAATCCAAAGCAGTGAGAACCAATGCATGTTCATTTTCATCCTCTGAGTCAGATGCAACCAGCAAAAGGTTGGATTTTCTTTTTGGGGGGTTCGGGTTCTCTAGTGTCCGCATTGGGATGTTGCTTCTGAAAGCATGTTCCACACCTCATCCCTCTCAGATTTTGGAAGGCACTTCAGATTCTTAACCTTGGGTTGAGAGCTGTAGCTATCATTAGAAATCTCACATTGGTACCTTCTTTCCGTTTTGTCAAATCTGCAGCGAAAGTGTTCTTAAGACAAACATGTGCTGAGTCATCACCTGAGACTATTATAACATGAAATATATGACAGAATGCAGGTAAAATAGAGCCGGAGACATACTATTCTCCCCCAAGGAGTTCAGTCACAAATTTAATGAATGCATTATTTTTTTAAATGAGTGTCATCACCATGGAAGCATGTCCTCTGGAATGGTGGCCGAACCATGAAGGAGCATACGAATGTTTAGCATATTTGGCACATAAATACCTTGCAATGCCGGCTATAAAAGTCCCATACGAACGCCTCTTCTCACTTTCTCGTGACATTGTAAACAAGAAGTGGGCAGCATTATCTCCCATAAATGTAAACAAACTTGTTTGTCTTCGTGATTGGGTGAACAAGAAGTTGGACTGAGTGGACTTATAGGCTCTAAAGTTTTGCACTGTTTTGCTTTTGAGTGCAGTTATATAACAAAACAAAAATCTACATTTGTAAGTTGCATTTTCATGCTAAGGAGATTGCACTACAGTACTTTTATGAGGTGAACTGAAAAATACTATTTCTTTTATCATTTTTACAGTGCAAATATTTGTAATAAAAATAATATAAAGTGAGCAGTATACACTTTGTAGTTTGAGTTGTAATTGATATCAATGTATTTGAAAATGTAGAAAAACATCCATAAATATTTAATAAATTTAAATTGGTATTCTATTAACAGTGCAATTAAAACTGATTATCGCAATTAATTTTTTTGAGTTAAATCGCGTGAATTAACTGTGATTAATCAACAGCCCTAGTTTCAAGCATTCCGTATATGGATTCATTTTTCACTAACCTCCTAGAATGTTTTGGATGTTTGTAGAATCTCATGGAACCTTCCGGACTTTTTGAGAACTGCATTTTCCTTGAATCTCCTAGAATGTTGTCAGCTACGCGCTTGAGGTTATATAAGGACAAGGCCTTGCCAGTCAGTCAGTGAGATATAAGAACAAAGTGAAGTGAAGTGAGAGCCCAGCTGCAATATTGTGAACCTTACTTTATTGTGTAATTGTGAAAGCGTACTTGTGTTTTAAGACTTGAAGAGTGTAAGTAGCTACTAATAAAGGACATAGATATCTTTGACGTCTTATTAAATATCGAACCCCTATCTTAATACTGTCACTTCTTTTGCCATGCTTAACATGTAACGTTTGATGGTTTTGTAAGACTGCAGAACATAGTCTTTGCTGTCGGATTTGAAGATGCCATCACTGCTGCCAAAGAAATGGCAGAAATCTTAGGAGTTGAGCCTGTCTTCAAGGAAATTCGTATTCAGCGGAAGAAGAGACAGTTTGGTTCTGAGGGCAGAGATGAGGTGATGGGAAGCTCGGAAGAAAAATTCAAGAGAGAATTTTTCTGTTTGCTCACTGACACTGCTCAAGTGTCCATCGAAGAAAGTTTCAGACAAATGAAGCACCACAAAAAGACCTGAAGGGGTTTGCATGACCTTAGTAAACTGCCAGTGGACAGGAAAACACTCGAACAATTGTACAGACCTTCACTGGACGTTGACACATGGGGAATGTTCGGACATCAATGATAGATGTTTTTATGTTGAATTGGACATCAGTCACATTTTTCCACACAGGAAGCACTCTCCTCTCCAAGTTCTCCAATTCATTCATGATGCAGAGCTGACGGATGCTTTTCCTAACGTGTGGATAGCTTTGAGGATTCTGCTCATGCTGCCAGTCACAGTCACGAGTGGTAAGTGCAGCTTTTCGAAGTTCAGGCTCATTAAACATGTCTTTGATTAACGATGGCTGACGAGAGTGACATCGCTTGTTATTTTATTGCTTGAAAATGCCATTGGCCAGTCTTTGGATCTCTCTGACGCTGGGCTTCGGTTCGCAAGGTCAAAGGTCAGAAAAGCGACCTTTAGAACTAAAGACTTAGGGTTAATAGTCTCAGGCTGTCACTTACTGTAACACTATTTAATACTGGTCCACCCAATGTTGGTGCACAGTTCAATTTCTTGATGTTAGTACATTTCAGTTATTCTTAAAATTAAAATTTTTTCTTAAAGTTAAAAAGTATTCTTAAAATTAAAAAGACTATAACAGGGTTCAAAACCAAACAAACAAACAAACAAAAAAACCTAGATAAATTCATGGAGCATATGTCCATCAATGGCTATTAGCTTGGATGGGCAGGGATGGTGTCCCTAGCCTGTTTGCCAGAAGCTGGGAATGGGCAGGGGATGGATCACTTGATTCCCTGTTCTGTTCATTCCCTGTGGGAATTGGCATTGGCCACTGTCGGAAAACAGGATACTGGGTTAGATGGACCTTTGGTTTGACCGAGTATGGCCGTTCTTTCGTTCTATAAGTTAAGAGGAAACAATTTTTCTTTATTTGCTTACATATGGCATGAATAAATACAGATTTACAGATCCTAGCATGACAGGGATAAATCATGCACCAAAGTTGTGAAATGGGCTACAAATGCAATAAAAAAATAAGGTATTAAAATGTTTAACAAATGGTGCGGGGGGAGAGGGGGCACCAAAGATGCTCCTTGCTTGGGGCATCATTTGGTCTAGGGCCTGCCCTGATCACAGACCTTTTGAGAGTCACCTGCCTACTCAAAACCAGTTCTGGGTTTCAATTCTCATTTAAGACTCAAGAGCAACCAGTAGGGTTTGGCAATGCTCTGCATTAACAGCACTGTATGTCAAGACTGATTTCTTTCCTCCTTGCATTTGAAACTTCACTGTGGGTCCACTGCCCAGGAATATATGATGACAGCAAGGAGCATGTAATTTTAATGCATTAGAACCATAAGCAGAATGCACTGATACAATTCTTCCTACAAACCTATGTCCATTAAACCAAGGGCAAAACTCAGAGGGGTTTCAGCGATATATATTATTCAGGGAAAAACAGCTCTAGAGTTTTATATATATTACAATATATAAGGAAACGGAGGTATACAGTGTGCTCATGGAATTCCATGCATGCTGATGACCATGTCTGGAATATGATGCTGAATCTGCAGTTCCATGATATTTGATTATTGGTTAGGTTCTCCTTGCATTAGTCCCCTAAGATCAGCTAATCTGTCCCATTGAATTTTCCCCAACTGTTTCACAAGGATGAGGGAAAGTTATTCATCCACCCAAACCAAAGAACAAACAGAAGGTTTGGGCCACCATGAGGTGGTCCTGTACCTCCTCGTTAGTGCTGAGTTGCCTTCCAGCTCCACTGGAACCACATACCAGATCTTCCATTACCAGCAGCTGCCCCTGGCCTTTTCACTCCTGGAGTGAGAGTGCACTGCACAGAAGAGGACCACAGAAAATGTCATACATATTTAGGGTTTTCCAGATATTCTTCACAAGCATGGGGAAAAACAATGCATCTCCCCTCAGTCCTTCTGTCCTTTCAGCAGCCATAGATACTACACAGACGGCTATCTGCAGAGTCAAGGGAAATGGCCACTTTTATGCACTGCAAGTAGGAGATACATGCAGAGGGACCTTTTTAGGTGTGGATCTGAGGGACAGAATCTGGAACCATCTTTACTCAACGGTGTGGGGACTCACTACATTAGAGGACCCTTAAGGTGTATGTTTCCTTTCAAGGGAGTGCACACTTCAATAATGATGACACATTGACAGCATACTGATCAGTTTAAGTATGGGTTGATTTCTATTCCATATATTGCATATCAAGGACTAAACAAACAGACATGTGCATAGTGGCAGAATATGCACAAGTTTACAAAAACTATTTTCACTTGCACTGTGTACAGTTCCTTAATATATACGGAAGACTGCCATCTACTGTTGATATCAGTAGGTTTTTTATATATACAAACATTGATGTATACTTTCAGCAGGGCTCGCTCCAAGTCAAAGTGAAGTCAATTGGCCCATAGCAGCTAGTTAAACAGCAAGAACTAGATGGCTCTTTTAAAAAAAATGAAATAAGGTGATGTAGGTTGAATAAAAATTACTTTAAATAAGATAATGTCAGCAAATCAGGTTGCTTGACACTTGCTTATTAAATAATTTCAGATTGAATTTTCATTTACCAATCTATTTTATTATACTTTTTTATAATGTACAACTACTTTCTAATTTGAAGAATGACAGAATAAGGCAATTTTGTGAATCAGAGTGAACATTTTACATTTTATGTAGTTAGTTTTGCTACCACATTCATTTGAATAAACTGACTAGATCCCCCCCCATCATTTCTCTCTATCAAAATATATCTATCAAATACTGGTGGGTTGCATCTCCCTCACTGACAATACTTATATCAGGTTATTCCAATTAATTATTTTTTGAAACTAAAATTATTGGCTCTGGCAATAAAATGCATACACAGCCATGTTATTACTGATCACCACTTTGAATGTGATCAGCCTCTATTTTTGACAAATGCCTCAGTAGATCAACCTATGGTCATAACATGCAAGTTCTTTTTGGTCTAATTAACATAGCACAATTTGTTAGGCTGACTAAGTTTCCTTGCTCCAGTGTGATCCAAACAGTCAAACCCAATACAGTCTTGTGTCACCCTTGCACATTAAAAATATAAACACAGACTCATTGTCCTATCTGTAAAGGCTGATAATTTATTTAGGTGTGCCTTATAAAAACCCTCTCAATCTACCAGTGCACTATTGTACAGATAATGACAATTTCAGAAAACAGGTCTGTGGTGCAATTTAAAATTAAAAAGATAACTAGACATTATAGAATGTTTTTCACCATTATTTTGCAGCAGTTTGTCAATATATTTGAATTTATAAATAAATATTTTCAGGACTAAACACTCTACTTCTATTTGTAATTATTATTATTAATCTTTGCAAATCCTCCGAAAGACAATGAAACATTTTCTCTGGAGTCTTTTTTTCAGACTTGACAATACCCAGTGCTGGCAGAGATAAAAGAGTACATCTAGGATATTTTTAGAAAACAACATAGGACTTTAGTTTCTATGGAAATGTAATCCTTCCTAATAAAGAGAAGAAACACAACATCAATCTTGCTTCTCTCAAACACACCTTCCTAGTTCAGAGTACAATCAGTGGATTGAGTTAATCTTTGTTTCCTGCCAAAAGGATTCAATATTTTCTAAGTTTAGTCTGAACACAGAGATTTCAGCTACTTGTTTTCAGGGATTTTGTTCCAGGAAATTAATTTTGGTTTGAGAAAAAGAAAATAAAAAAAGATGTACTTTATTCCTTGAAGGTTCAAAGCTTTCGTGGTGGAGTATCACAGTAAGGAACATTGTCTAGTAGCAGATCTTTCCTGGGTATAAGCACTGTAACAAACAAACAAACTCAGTAAGAATAATATTTTATCATAATGATCTACAAAAATATACATGGCCTTTAATATTTTTACAAGCAATGAAACAGCTTACTACAGACCATCTAGTTTTAAATTAAACCTACAAGAAGCACTATGGTAATTTCCTAAGCCAACAAAAATGTACTAACATTTTACTTCTGTTCATCAGAAATCTCTTCCACCTCCTCCACCTATTTTGCTATTAATAACATCCTTGAAAACACTTTAACTGTCTATCATTGCTACATTTTGCCATTTCTCATGTAAAGACATTTTAGCAAAACAGATAGCAAATTATAACGTTTCTGGCAATCCTGATTCCAATGTATTTAAATACAAATTTCAAAATGCATAAAACATACTTTAAAATATATAGACACCTCATTTAAAATCTGTAACATTTATTAATGCTGTACCTGTTCTTTTAAGAACAGCAGAAAAATCAAGTATCAGATGACATTTATTGCAGGAGAAAAGAGCAGTGTGTTGGGTTTTTCTTGGCTGTGCACTGTGCTAACTGCCCTTGGCTCTAATAAAGTTTTGACCATCTGGCTCCTTGGATATCCACTTGGGAGTTCTGCACCTGAGGGCTGTCAGATTTGTGCAACTGGCACCACCTACAAGCCGAGGCACCATGGCTACAAACACAATCCTGTACTTTGACTAGTCAGGCAAGTACTAAACAAAGGTACAGTAAACTTCTAAAACACTCCAAATTCCATTCCATCTGTGTAATCAGTCACGTCTCATCCAAAGTATGTTGTTTTTCCATATATTATAGAAAAATCAAGGAAATTGCTTCCCTTGAAGCTGCATTTCTTTTTCATTTTCTGGCTGTGGTATTAAAACAGTATTAAACACATTTTTAAATGGATTGAATATTTTGTTTGTGTTCTACCTATGAGGGAAACATTCATGTCCCAGTGTTCACATGTATTTTTTCCTCTACATTTTAGGGACAAGACTTTGTGCATGAGAGAGAAATACAAGTATAAACCAAACAGGATAGAGGAGGAAGAATGAACAAATAAAAACAACAAGGAGGCCGGTGGCACCTTAAAGACTAACAGATTTATTTGGGCATAAGCTTTCGTGGGTAAAAACCCACTTCTTCAGATCAAGTGGGTTTTTTTTACCCACGAAAGCTTATGCCCAAATAAGTCTGTTAGTCTTTAAGGTGCCCCCGGGCTCCTTGTTGTTTTTCTGGATACAGACTAACACGGTTACCCCTCTGATACTTGGACAAATAAAAAAGACTAATGGGGACAGAACCTCCTAACCTCTCACTGAAAAATAAAAGTTTGGCACACATCTCATGCATCACTATAGCAAACCCAAAGTGAAAACCATCAGGGTGCATTGCATATGTGGTAAATTAGGATGAGAAAAGCTCTACTTATATCAGTTTATTCTGCAAAATAAAAACAAGTTGACCAGTGCCAACTCTCTTGCACAACAGTGGATAATTTGACTTGACAGGCTGCACAGCAATGTCTCAAAAAATCTGTGTAGTGAGATTCTGAATAATGTGACTAACACAAGCTCCTAGCTGTAAATCTCTTTATCATTTTTAAAACTTTTTTCAGACTTAACTGTCCAGTGCTGGCTGAAATTAAAAAAAGAGTACGCCTAGGATATTTTTAGAAACCAATATAGGACGTTAGTTTCTATGGAAATGTATTCCTTCTCAATGAAGTGAATCTTAATATCTCTCTCTGCATGATAGCTAATATCCACAATATTCTGATCAGAGTTTCATAAATTCTTTAATGGTATTCCAAGAACAACCAATTAGATCAGGAATGTAGTCAATGCCATAGTACTGTAGGTCCATTTAGTTCAGCATGCTGGATCACGGTGATCAATACCAGACGCTTCCGAGAAAGATGCAACAAACCAACTACTGGATAGTTATGGAATACCCTGTTCACAGAGAAAGTCTCTTCTTAACCTCTGGCACTTAGTAATTGGCCTATTACCATGAAGCATAAGGGTTTGTGTATGCTTTCTAAAAAATGCTTTGCTTTTATCCCATCTAATGTCAGCATTAATTCTTTCATTATGCATCTGAACATCTACTTTTTTTTTCTTTGAACTCCAAGCTCTTGGTCTCAAAGATATTTTGTGTCAGTAAGTTCCATAAATTAATGATGTATTGTGTAAAACAGAGATGGATTTCTTTTTATCAGTTTAAATTACTGTCTTTCTAACATCATGGAATGTCTCCTTTTTCCTTTATAATGCGAACGTGTAAATAGGAGTACCCTATTTACCTTTATTACTATTCATGACATTCTAAACTTCTATAATGACCCCTTTGATCCATCTCCTTTATAATAATTCCATTCTTTTACTTGGGATAACCTAGAAATAAAGCAGCCGAAGAACAGAGAGCTAGGCATGCCCAATTTCTTTATTGTTCTTGCAAAAAGGGGATTTCAAACCATAGACTACAACTTCATATTTGGGTACAGGGATCCAAAGCCTTCTCGATCTGACATACAGTCCAAATCATACACATTATGCATAATTTTTACACTTTTTGTTTTTTAATACTCAGGCTAACTTCAGCTGGCCAGTTAGATAACTATAAAGAAAAAGTAAAAATTTTCATTGAGGTGGTGCTTAGAGGCCCCATCGTGCTACATGCTGTTAAACACAGAGTAAGGGCAAAGCTTGGTCTCATTCAAGACTGATAGAGAGGAAACACTAACAGGTTAGAAATTCCAAAAAGACATCCTTAATGTTTATGTACCATTAAGCCAGTGGTTCTCAAACTTTTGTACTGGTGACCCCTTTCACATAGCAAGCCTCTGAGTGCGACCCCCCCTTATAAATTAAAACTACTTTTTTATATATTTAATACCATTATAAATGCTGGAGACAAAGTGGGGTTTGGGGTTGAAGCTGACAGCTCGTGACCCCCCCATGTAATAACCTCACGACTCCCTGAGGGGTCCTGACCTCCAATTTGAGAACCCCTGCATTAGGCTTTAAGGAAGTTCACAGAAAGGACGACATCTTGCTTAAATGAGTGTGTCACTATTTATTACACAAAAGAAGAGACATTAAAATGATACAGGAAGCGCTGAGACCTTCCCTGTAACCTCAGTCAAATCTAGAACACACTTCTGACATACATGGATATGTGAAATTGATCCACAATGCATGGGTTTGAGTTTGTCTATTTTCAATAAAACTCAAAATAGAGCAAAGAAAGTTAAATACATAAAAGGCACTCATATCAATTAAAGTTTCAGGATACAGAACTTCATGATGTTGATTCTAATTTAGTTTTCCGACTTGGGAGACAAATGACTCCTAGAGCTTAAGGCCAGCCTTTACCACTCCCATTCCTTCTCCCTCTCATCCCTGTCCACTCCTCATTAACCCACACTCAGTCCTCATACATTATTTCCTTTTCTTCACTCTCTTACCTTAGCAGAGGGATGGGCCATCTGGGATAGAATTTAATTTCCCCAAAAGTAGGAGATGGAGAGGAGCTGATTGAGACTGTATCCACTTTCCCCACAGTAGTGGCAACACAAAGCAAGAGCAGGTGCCTACCACAGTGCCCATTTTCCTAGCAGATGCAGAAGGAGGGGGAAAATGGGCGATTGCACATATACTAAAATTGGAACGATACAGAGAAGATTAGCATGGCCCGTGCGCAAGGATGACATGCAAATTCGTGAAGCGATAATGGCAGGAGGAGTCCCAGCAAGCTCAGGGCTGGCACCAGTTTCCCCACAATAGGAGATGAAAGAAGGAAGAGGGTGAAGGATCTCCTGAAGTGTATCACAGACGGTGCTCTCTGTGATGCCTGAAAGCCATGAACATGCATGCTTAGAGGAAACACCAATCACATGTAGGACTATGGGAAACTTGAGGGCACGTACGAGACTTTTTTGGGGTTCATACTGGTTCACTTTTCGAGTTTGACAATTTCAGATGTGAATGAACCCAATACTGCAAAGATTTGACTGGCTTTAGGTCAAAACCAATCAAGCAAGCATCACAAATCTTCCACCAGACACCATAATTCGACCTAGCCTCTCAAATCTAAATGAACCTGGCCCAAGTTTGGGGTAAATAATATACAACACAACACACACCCTCAGTTTCAGGTTTTGTCACTGAAGTTCAGCACAGTTCTAAATACCATTAAAAAAAAAAAAAGAATGCTGTGCAGCTCTACTTACTCAGACTGTCAGAACCTGTGTGAAGTCCCTGTATAACAGATGTTCTGAGCAGAACTTCGACATCTGAACCTATTTTCATAAGCTGGTAAAGAAAAAACAGAGCAATTAAAACAGTGCAAAATTACTCTTGTAGACATTTTCCATGTTTGACAAGTATAAATCAAATATCGTCAGTATTTTTATATCTTCTGAATAATAGGGCATCTTGTATTTACATAGTGCTTTTTATCCTGGAGGATCCCAAAGTGCTTTATGAACTGATACATAAGTCACTCTGGGGTACAGCCCCCGGGATGAAACAAGTCTACTGTTTGATAACACACACAGCAATAGAAAATACTGTATTTAATTGAAACTGCAGGAGAATATTTAGGTAGGTAGATTACCAGAGTAATTATATTTTAATTTGTGTCCAATTATCCTAAACTCCAGGAGGAACATCTTGCAAGAATTGTCATCAAGCAGTCAGTTCTTTACAGTTCAGGTACGTTTTGGACTTCTCGCCCCTCTTTTTCTGCCCAATCTGAGAAGAGGAGTCAATGGTGCTGAGATGCCACAGCAAGGAGATCAAAAGCAGCAGGAGTGGCCGGGGGAAGGGGCAGTCCCCCTCTCCCTAGAGATCAGCAGCATTAGGAGTGTGTGATTACAACACTGTAATCCCTTCCCTATTTGAGAGGAAGCATGACAGAGGTCTCCATGTGCATGCCCCTTGCCAAAAAGACAGAACTTGTTAAATGGCTAGTACTTATTTGTATGCAGTGCCTTCCTGCAATGTATACAGCTGCACAAGTGAGAAGCCTAGGGGGAACAGAGTTTCTTACATTGCAAAGTTTCTCAGGTAGTTATTCTTCACTTCTTTTCCTAAAAACTGTTTAATGTCATGGGTTGGAAAACATGTGCTATATTCTACTCTGGCAGTGGATGAAGCAACAAATAAATAGGGTCAAGATTTTGAAAAATGGATGCCTTAAATTAGGCACCAAAGTCTATATACGGATACCTGAATAGGAGGCCTGTTTTTCAGAAGTACTGAGGTGCTTGGGGCCAAACAGTTTTGACTGTTTCTGTAAAGCACTCTTTGGTCCAATTCTTCTGCATTAATGGCACTTCAGCATATAAATGCACAATAATTACTAAACATGACAGGTTGTGTTCCCCCCCCCCACCATGGATATCATCATGGCCTTGCTGGAGACCAAGAATTTTATCCACTGATCTTTCACTCAATGAATATGCCAATTAACTAGCATCAAAAGAAGAGTCAATATTAGATATGTGCATTTTGTAGATCACCACTCCTAACAAATGCAGCTTTGAGAATTTTACCTGGCATCTTATCTGTACATCAATTAAAACAGTGTTATATCATTAAATTAAAAAACAGAACAGAAGACAGAACTTGATGCCTAGGATACACGCACAGAAATATTGCTGCTGTTGCTTGGCAACAAGCAGACATGCTAGAGAGAGTCCTGAATGAATGTTCAGAAGTGTTAACGTCAGTGATATGTGGGTGCTAGGATGCCAAGTACTGAACTGATTGTCTTAGTTTGTTTTTTCCTACAATATATGCTTAAATATATATGTGGTTTCTTCTAATGCCTCCCCTCATGGATTCAGGAGGAGTAGCATACATGTGTCTACAAGAGGATTTCTAAAGAGAATTCAATGAATTGGAAAATATGCTGAATTAGAAGAGTGACAACAATTCATTCACTTCTTCATCATGCATAGTAAAATAAAACCTCCAGTTCACATTGTTTCAATGTTAATAATTGCAGGCCCAAGTAAATTCATAATCTTACTGCTAATTAAAACAGCTTTGCAAATGTGTTACATAACAGCTGGGAAAGTCTGAATTATATAGTGAGCTAAAAGAATTTTCTACACTGTAGTCCCTTAATTTACCAGAGAGATAAAGACAGGTGAGGTAATTAATGCATCTGTATTAACAACTTAATCACAAGCACTTGATTATTTGGGAGGGAAGGAGTTTGTGATATGATATGAGTCAGAACTAGTAGGCCCTATTGCCAGCTCTGCCAATAACTGCCTACATCTAAACTAATGAGCTGGGGGCTCCCAGCTTGCATACACATACTCGTGCTACTTCGATGTGAACTAGTATGAGTACATGTACACGAGCTGGGAATCATACCTCTAGCTCATAGCATAGATGTAGCCTCACTGTGTGACATTGGGCAAGTCACTTAACCTCTGTGCCCCATTTCATCCATCTGTAGAGTGAATATAAGAGAGTCATTCATAGATTTTAAGACTAGAGGGCCCATTATGATCATCTATTCTGATAACCAGTCTAATACTTAGCTTGATTGCATAAGGAGAAACAAGCAAAATATTTCCACTAAATGGACAACAATTTGGAAAAACAATTCTAATTTTGTTATTAACTTGAAAATAGGCAGAGCAAAAATGGCTTTGAATTGTAAACATGGAAAACTGTTTTTCATACAATTTTTAATGTGAAAACTGCCATTTGTAATTTTTACATAAACTGATGGTGACAGCAGGACACAAAATAGAAAATAAGTTTGTACACAAAGTTCCATGAAATTACATTTTGAAATTCACAAAGCTCTGGTTGTGAGGCTCAATTAGTGTTTGCAAAGTGCTCTGAGATCCTTTGATAAAATATGTGAATATAAAGTATTATTAGACTTTATACTATTAAGTGGAGAATAGCATCACAATGAAAGTACCTCTGCTATTCTTTCAGAAGAGGTCTCATCTTGATGGTTTCTGAATTCTTCATTTATCTTTTGTCTTGCAGCTAAAGGGGGCAAATAAAATAAAGTTGTTTAGGTTTTGTTGTTGTTGTTTTTTTAATTCCCTCACTTATTATCAGTCCTTTGTCATTGGCTCAAAACCCACATTCCTTAGCAGCTAAAACCCATCTCAGGTAGACAAATTTGCCCCTTGTTTGTTGATGCTGCTCTACAGCCATGGTCCTTTTACTACCTACCTGTCCTCTTCATATTTCACTCAGATCAGAGCCTTGTACTTCAAGATCTCTGTGGAACTTGAGTGATAGCATGTTTTATTCCCACACCAAAAATGTGTTGTAATGATTTGTTTAAAAAAAAAAAAGACTCAAAATACTACTATATATCACTCGTATTTGTATCTGCTCAGTTCAAATATGCATGTTTACTATCTGATGGAGTTGTGTTATTCATTTTAAGAACAACTGTACACAAACAACTCGGGTGTTTGGTAGCCTAGAACACCTGAGATTCACTGTTTTAGAAAATCAACAAGACTACAATTTTAGAACCACATGGTTCTGTTCTACTGAAAAATTTTTCATAACATTACAGCTTAAAAAATTACTTACTGGCTTGATTCTAGCCAGAGATGTAATTTAATCTTTGGGAATATGTGGGTAATGGGCAGCATGGGGAAAGGAGAGATTTCCCCTCCTTATTCCTCCGAGATGGGTGAAGGGGAAAATCACAACAATTTGAGGCAAATACTCTAAGCATTATTTCCCTCCCTGCCTTGTTCCTCAGCTCCAGCACTTCTGCAGTCAGTTTTTCACTAAAGCCATTCCTGTTTCTGATCTTTTATAGTGTGTGTGCATGCATGTATGTTTGGTGGAAGAGAGGACAGAAGACTCTTAGAACTGACAGGGAGAAAACTCTCTTCCCTTCCTAAAAGGCTGCTTTTTACATTTTCCATAAACTGGTATTAATGGGCTCCCTCTTCCTCACACTAGCATTGCTGCTTCTGTTAACATAGCAACTTTAGAATCTCCTACTCAGTGTTGGCCAGTGCTCCAAGATCTGCTATTGTCTGCTTTCCTAACCGACCCTCATTGCAAAGAAAGGAAAACTGGAGGAAGGAGAGGAGAAGAGGGAAGCAGAGAGTAGGATTAAATTAGCTACCTCCCTGGAACAGCGGAATAGAGTTGATGCCAAAAGACCCTGCTCTGCACCCTACATTTACCTTTCCCTCACCACATGAACAGTTACTGAGGTGGGAAGGCAGGCTCTCAAGATCCTCTATGACAGGTTTCAGAGTAGCAGCCGTGTTAGTCTGTATCTGCAGAAAGAACAGGAGTACTTATGGCACCTTAGAGACTAACACATTTATTTGAGCATAAGCTTTCATGGGCTACAGCCTACTTCATTAGATGCATAGAATGGAACATATAGTAAATAAATGTACAAAAAAGGAGCCAAATTGGTCTTCCAAGCTTTATGAAGTTCTTTAACAGTTAACTAGTAATTTATTTTCAGAGTGTGAAACGTTGCATTTTGGCTCCCCAGTGGACTGCTATGCACTAAACAAATGTCTGTATCAGCAAGAACAATGAGGAGTCCTTGTGGCACTTTAGACACTAACCAGTTTATTTGGGCATAAGCTTTTGTAGGCTATAACCCACTTTATCAGATGCATGGAGTGAAAAATACAGTAGGCAGGTATAAATATCCATCTTTTCATGTGCTCTATATTTATACCTGCCTACTGTATTTTTCACTCCATGCAGCTTATGAAGTGGGTTATAGCCCACAAAAGCTTATGCCCAAATAAATTTGTTAGCGTCTAAGGTGCAACAAGGACTCCTCATTGTTCCATCTGTCTGCTCCCTGGACCAGCCGAGGCTACATACAAACTCCACTCACAAAAGAAGAAAGAGTTCTTTGCCCTGTTTGACTGAACCCCTTAAGCTGCTTAAACAGCAGCAGGTTCCAAAAAGGGGTTCATCTAGTTCAGGTCCCCTCAGACAGAGGGATGATAGTTGCTGTAGGAGATCTTCACGACCGGGGCATGCAGAAGGGAGGAGGGTCCTTAGAGCTTTTGTAGAGATGCAGAGGATCCACTAGGAAGACAAAAATTCTTACCTTCTAGGGCTCTGGCATCATTTTTAAAAACCTGTTGCCGTGTTCTGTGCAATGCTCTGAAAAGCTTCAAAACCTGTTAACAAAATACAAGTCAACAATAAATGTGTTTTGTTTGTTAATAGGATTTCTTAAGTAAAATTAATATTTTTTCAATTAAAAAAGGTATCTTTTTGCATTCTATTGTTTCCTTCATACCAGCTAGAGTAGAACCATTCTGTCAGAAATGTTCTCAATTCAGACTTTTTGCAGATAAAACAGAGATATAGAACACAGAAGACATAACAATTCTTGATATCTAAAATACAGTAGAACCTCAGGAGTTATGAACACCAGAGTTACAAACTGAGTGGTCAACCATACACCCCATTTGGAACCGGAAATATGCAATCAGGCATCAGCAGAAACACATACACACACAAAAAAGAAAAGGCAAATACAGTACAGTACTGTGTTAAATGTAAACTACTAAAAAATAAAGGGACAGTTAAAAAAAAGATTGACAAGGTAAGGAAACTGTTTCTGTGCTTGTTTCATTTAAATTAAGATGGTTAAAAGCAGCATTTTTCTTCTGCATAGTAAAGTATCAAAGCTGTATTAAGTCAATGTTTAGTTGTAAACTTTTGAAAGAACAACCATAACATTTTGTTCAGCATTACGAACAACCTCCATTCCTGAGGGTATGTAACTCTGAGGGTCTACTGAAGACTGAACTGAAGACACAAAAGACTGAACTGAAGTCACCATTTTGACCTCTATGGCCCTACTCCTGCAAAGAGACCAGCACAAAAACACTCATGCCTGCAAAGTAAAATTTACAGGATATGGACTTGCAACTGTACAGTAAAAGCCACCCAATTAAGTGAAAATACTGGGTATCATCAGAGCTTAGTTTTACTATTAAATATTAGACAATGTTTTCATCCCTCAGCTCATAGAGAGCCAAGAAGCTCTACCAAAAACCTGGACCAGCAGAGGCTACAGCTCTCATAGGATATAGTTCATGGTTCTGAAATACTGACAGCATCAACTCATTTATAAGACAGTGTCACAAAACTGAATGAATAAGATGACCTCAAAACAGCAGCTTGGAAAGCTTATGTCCAAACATTACATTTTCAATAGAACCACATAGTGTAAACATAAAGATGATACAGCAAAACCCATCCAAATTGGAAGTTCCTCTCTAACAATAAGTACAAGATCACTAGGTAATGACTTTGGTCAGGAGAAGCTACTCAAAAACACTGAATTACACGATGGAAATACATATGCAAAAATTGGTTTTAAAATTATTAATTATTATTATTATTATTAAAGGTTATTATAAGCATGCCTATGCCTTTACTGAATTTTAGTAGATACTTATGAACATCATATGTTTATAGAATAGAATAATTCATATGCTTAGGGTTTTGGTTGAAATGCTAATTAAGGAAATTTATAGGAAATCTCTGCTCTCTGTCAACCAAGGACAAGCACCAGAAGTGTCAGAGGAGGATACCTCCTTAGCCATAAAGTCATATTTATTACCTTCAAGTGTATTTACACAGACTCTGGAATGCATCTTTAGAGCATCTAGTTAGTTTTAACATTCCATATTTTCTTATATAGACATCTTTCAAATATACAGTATAAATGTGTTAGCTACTGATGTGTGCCTTGTATAGAATATTTGATAGGAGTCTTTTACTCCAAACTGTAAGTGTACTACAAATGACAGGTTATAAATCTAGGAGTCATTTGGTGAAAAGGGCAAACAACCAACAAGGGAATTGTCAAAGAACAGGGGACTTCCAACCTGTAGAAGATACCAGTTTGGTATAGACATGATTTTTATCTCAAGAAAACAAACTTTGTATAATATTTATGTTTTAGAAAGAGACATGGTTGTGTCAAAGAGTGGAATGCTTTAGTCAGGATACTCCAAAGGGAGGTGGTGCTTAGGATGTATTATCAGAACTGTAAACTAAGTAATAAAAGTGGGCCTCTTCACCCCACCTCTTTGAAAGAAAAATAAAAAAGCACCTTAATTTTAAACACAAAGAATTCTAAAAATAATCTTATTTAAACTGATTTCTTTTATAAACGCTCTAAAATTCTTATTCTTTAAATGTTAAGGAGAACTTATATGATTGGGAAATGTTTTACAGAAATTATTGGTTACTTCTAATCAACAGAAAAGGTGAAAGCTTTTCTTGTCCTCAAATTCCTTGGATGAATAACTTCTTCTGAGATGCATATTTGCAAGTATTATTATATCTAAATGCAAGCTTCATTTAATAACTGCCTGATACCATTATGTGAATAGTGAGATGTCCCCTGAACAAATATATCATGGTCATACTATTAGCAATTACTAATATAAGAAACCTCTTGAGTGTAAAAATATTCATAATAATTAGGGAATGAATACTTATCTGACAATGCTTAAGCAACTCCTTACCAAACTCAGGAAGGCCAGAAGAACCTCTCCAAGGATGGTGAGAAAGGACAATAATTTATTTGATGACCATTAAAATTAAGTCCTTAAGAATTATTTAAGCTTTTAAAAAAACTATTCTAAGAGTTGAAAGACTTCCACATAGAAAATGAGAGTGTTTTGACTTATTTAAACAGAAATTTCAATGATAATTAAAACCTGATGGAAGTTAAGGCATTTCTCAAAAAATCGACTATATGAAAAGAATGAGTTAAAACACTAACCTAAAGATGTTCAAGAGTTTCCCATATCTAAAGCAATATAATCATTCTTTTAAAGAATTAAAACCCTGCCGCATATGCATTAGCAGATTGCATATTCATGAGCTGAAGAAGCTACTGGGACCATTCCATGAAGGTGTTGATCCAACAAGTGAACAACACCTCTACAAGCAAGCAAACAACACAGCTCAAAGCAAGGAAGTCACAACACAGCAAGAAGAAGCAACTTTCCAGTGCAGCACTGCTTCTGCATAATGATGACATCACGGAGACTTTGACACTATTGGTTTGCAAAAGCACTGCCAAAGGATTAGAATTACAATTTTCTTGAAGTGATTTTAAGGGGATATGGAAATACTGTTATAATTTAAGTAATAACAGTCTTTCCTGTTAAACACCAGGTTGCTTAGATAGACTATGTATTCCTGAAAAGGAGACATAAGTTAACCGTAATAAACAGAGAAAGTGTGGGCTTTGAGTTTAAGATTCTTAATAATTAATTTGCCTGTGTTAAGACTGCTCCTTGAATGGCTTCTTTTAAGTTAAAAACCTTCTTCAGTTTCATAGGACTTAGTTAAGATCACTTACCTCTGTCCAATTAGGTAATCCATAATTTAAAAAAACAAAAAACAAACAAACAAACAAAAAAAACCCTAACAAAACGAATTCACCAACCCTTAGACAAAGGAATTTCATTTCTATACGCTGCACAGCATCTATGCACTGTTTTATTTTATCTATATTATACCAATGATTTAGATAATGGCATAGAGAGTATACTTAAAGTTTATGGACGATAACACGCTAGTAGGGGTTGTAAGTGCTTTGGAGGATCTGATTAAAATTCAAAATGATCTGGACAAACTGGAGAAATGGTCTGAAGTAAATAGGATGAAATTCAATAAGGACAAATGCAAAGCACTTCACTTAGGAAGAAACAATCACAGTTGCACACATACAAAATGGGAAATGACTGCCTAGGAAGGAGTACTGTGGGACGGGATCTGGGGGTCAGAGTGGATCACAAGCTAAATATGAGTCAACCGTGTAACACTGTTGCAAAAAAAGCAAACATCATTCTGGGATCTATTAGCAGGAGTATTGTAAACAAGACACGGGAAGTAATTCTTCTGCTCTATTCTGCGCTGATTAGGCCTCAACTGGAGTATTGTGTCCAATTCTGGGCACCACTTTTCAGGAAAGATGTGGACAAATTGGAGAAAGTCCAGAGAAGAGCAACAAAAATGATTAAAGGTCTAGAAAACATGATCTATGGGGGAAGAGTGAAAAAATTGGGTTTGTTTAGTCTGGAGAAGAGTAGACTGAAAGGGGACATGATAACAGTTTTCAACTACATAAAAGGTTGTTACAAGGAGGAGGGAGAAAAATTATTCTTCTTAACCACCGAGGATAGGACAAGAAGCAATGGGCTTAAATTGCAGCAAGGGCACTTTAGGTTGGACATTAGGAAAAACTTTCTGTCAGAGTGGTTAAGCACTGGAATAAATCGCCTAGGGAGGTTGTGGAATATCCATCATTGGGGATTTTTAAGATCAGGTTGGAAAAACACCTATCAGGGATGGTCTAGATAATACTTAGTCTTGCCTTGAGTGCAGGGGACTGGACTAGATGATCGCTCGAGGTCCCTTCCAGTTCTATGGTTACTTTGGTTTTATTTTAGCTACTGATAAAAACTCTCCACTAAGAGATATACAGTAGAGATTGTGTCTGAAGTAACCATTATTTACTGCTTGATTTGTCTCTCTCTTTTTCCTTTCTTTAATAAGTCATAGTTAATAGTTATGATTACTTTGCTCATCGTTAATCATGGTGTCCCTTAAGGCCTGGCAAGAACACATCTGACTAAAATTGGAGGGAGGGGGAAAGTCACATATCTGAATTGGCATAAAATGAGACATTTAAAATTTGGCTTGTGGTTTATTGTTTCTCTAGGCTATACATTTTTAAAATTGTTTGAGATAAAATTACATAGCATCAGCACTGCTTTCTACCACACAAATGAGCTTACTATCTTCAAAACAGAGTCTTATTAGAATCACATAGAATTTTGAGTCAGTGATATATAGGAGGTGAAACCAAATGAACTGTTCCCCCAGTATTTCCATCAAACTGTCTCTTCTTTGGGTTAACATTTTCTCAAGCAAGTAATATATTGTCATCCCTTTATATATTTTTCTCTTATCTTATTTGTCATGTAGATTTCAACATTTAGTACCTCAATCTATAGCTTGGAGACCTTTGTGTCGACCCCCTTGGGGAATTCCACAAATAAATCACCACCTTGAATCAGACATAGTTACAGAGATGGAGGGAGATGTGGTATGGAACAGAAGGTTTGTTATTACTATTTAT